GACAGATTGTTTCCCTTTCCCATCTATTTTTCTTAAACTATTCATATAGTCTAGCAAGTGAACAATTAATCAGAGAACTGATTCGATAATGCCCTTTGAAAGTGACTCAGATACTTCTAAAGTAGATTCCTAAAGCTACCAGATCTACTGTGTAGCCAGTACACACCAGGCAAAGTTCCCATAGAACTTGTTTGGAAGCATGTCCCTAAGACCATATCTACATGAAGAGGTCGGAGGGACCCAGAGAGTCCCCAGAGCCAAAAGCTCCCTGAAAATTAGTTTGTACAGAAGTTTCAGTTTTCCCTAAAGAGCCAATGTAGGAATTCCAGCTTTGACCTTCTGGAGACTCTTTATTAAAATGAAAATTTGTTACCTCGGAAGGTAGTTTTTATCCCATTCGTGTCTATTTGTTAGTATTTTAGCCCAAATTAGGGTTTTTCAAAATAGCTAGATGGCTGAGAGCAGCACTTAAATAGAAACAAATCAGATTCACTAAGGTGGGCTCAGCCTAAGCTTTATTAAGTGATTGTGATCAATTAATTGTGATACAATTAAGTGATTGTGATACAAACCCCAGCACTTTGGGCACCAAGCATTTGCAAGAGTCCCTGTACGGCGTGTGCACATCCCCTCGAGACAAAATGGCCGACTGGAGAGTAGCTCTGCCAAGCGGGAATATAATGCAAGCCACTCAGATAATCTTAAATTTAAATAATTAAATATTTAAATAAATAAATATTTAAATAAATAAATAAATAAGATGAGATCTAAAAGTTGACATTAAATTTAATGAGAGATTTTTTAAACTTGATATACCCACTATGTCATTGCTTCAATATATAACCAATATAAAAATTATCAGTAAGACATTTTCCTTTTGAAATCCAGGGTGTATTTTAAACTTAGAGCCTGTCCCAGTTTGGACCAGCCACATCTCAAGTGGTCAGTAGCTGCCTGTGGCATAAATAATCCATTTTAATGGCCACCGCAGCTCTGGGAGCCTTGAATTGGAAACTGGTTCTCAGATTGCAAAGTGTGGCTGGTGAAAATGACCACGGGATGGACAGCGGGGACAAATGAAAGTTGGGATCATCCTCACTTCTTTTATACTCAATTATATAAGTGTCACATGTTAGCTGAAGGTCAGTGTTAACCCAACTGCAGAAAAACTACAGAAAAAGAGGAGCTGGGTTCAGGTACTGACCCTAACACTTAATTGGGTGCCCTCGGGCAAGTTACGCAAAACCTTCAGTTTCTTCACTTGCAAAATGGGAATAGGTCTAAAGCCTCAGGCTCAAAGGGTTGTTGTGGAGATTAAGTAAATAATGCATATTAACTCCATAAATGCTCAAGAAATGCTTGATATGTCATCACTGTTGCTGTTATTAACTATTTTTACAAATCAAAATTGCTTAAAGATGAACTATAAAGGCAGTCTTTTTTTATTTCTGCAAAAGAGGAGGAAAATGATTGTAAGATTGATAGACTGTCTTTTTAAAGAGTAGGTTTAACCAGCTTCTTAAATTGGGCACTGCTCCTCATGTAAATCATCTATGCACCAAGAAATCCGAAAGATGCTATGTTACCTTCAGAACATTTTTGGTTTTGTGTTTAACCAGAAATTATTATGTTTAAGTATTCCACAGGGAAACTTCTAGAGAAGACTACCCTAAAATGACACTCTTGAGGGTACTGGGTGAGGCAATGAAAGAAAAGAAAAGAGTTTTTCTTTCTTTTCTTGGCCTCATTTATCTTCTCCTTTTATTTAAAGTCAGCAGAAAGAACTAATTAAGGCAAAGCTAAAGGAAATGAATTCAAAGTTTGCACTGCACATGTGAACTAATCTTTCCACAATGACATATTTGAAAGGCCAAATAAGGCACTCCTTCACATTGTACTCCAGCAAGGGGGCAGAAGAAATTGCACACACTCTTGGGTGTACAGTTTGACTCACTACTGACTTGCTTAGAAGCCATTGCCATTCCAAAACACAGTGTAATAGTTCTCACCTACGGGAGGATGATGGAAAATCACAACACGTGTCAGTGCCTGCTATACCAAACACACCTTTCATGGGGATTTTGTTCAGAATGAAAGATGTAGTGAAAATTTTAAGATGCACGTAGGTGGTGAATAAATAAATATGGGATGTACTTACACATTCACGCACTGAAGCTGGGAGGCTTTGAGCCATGAGAGCAAAGAAATGTACTCAACCATCAATTTAATAGGTCATTTTTAATGTAGGCAGCAAAATGGCCATGTGCATAAAAAACCACTACTATATTTTGAGAGATCCTTTCTAAGAATCCTGAAATATTAATAGCATGGTCTTAATGTAGTTGAAGACAAAGGAATGTGTTAGGGGCAGCGAGGTTGCCGAGAATAGCACAATGACAATTTTGTACTTTGGCTTGTGCTGGTAAAAGCTGGAGAAAAAAAGAATTTTAAAAATAGTCTGGGTGTTTAAAGAAGGGCAGCCTTCAGTTTTCAAAATCGGTGTAAAACTCCGTATTTCCCAGGTGAATTCACATGTACTTATTCTCGCTAACACATTCATGCAAGCTTCAAGGACACAGAGAAAAAGTATGAAGTTGTGATCTCATTTTTTTCCTTAAATTAACATAAACATACAACTCACTTTTGAACTTCAAACAATTCAAGGCATCCTGTAATTTGACTTTGTGAACGATGAACTTGATTTTTTTTAACTGAAAGTAGTCTGACCAGCATAGAAGTTGAGGAAATAGTAATTCTCTGTTTTTCTCTTCCTTGCAACTTTTTGAATTGGCTCTCTTTTCATATGGCAATGACTCCATCACAGGCCAGTTTTTCTTGTCAGTCTTCCCACTTCCATTGTGAGATGTTAGATTTTGATGCCTGGTGGAAGGGAGGTACATAAGGATCATCAGGAACGTGGAGAGATTCATCCAATATCCAGATGTGGAAAAATAAAAACGACTTAGGTCTTCTCGGCAGTCCTAGCACCACCCAATCTAACACCGGGTTTCTACAACTTGCTTTGTTGGCTGTTACTGAGTGGCAAGACAGGTCCCAGTGGGTTTGTTTCTGAGTTCAGGGATCGTGTTTGATGTGGGAAGGACAAGCTTGACCCTTGGTGCATCTTCCTCCCAAAGCTGGCGTTGCTGAGTTTAATCAAAACCCTAGGGCCATCTTGAGCATGACCAAAGAGCACCTTGCATATTGAACCATACCTAATTACGTGATGTGTATAAACTCGAGACACATAAATCTCAGTCATTGGAGCAACTTGTTTTTCTAAGATTCTCCGCTCCAGTGAAAGACGAAGGCAAATAAGGCAGAGATTGATCTCCCAGCGCTTTTTATTGTTGGTGCTCCACACATCATAAAGTTTTGGCTCGTTAAAGGAAATTCCATAAACAACTTTAGTTAATCATAATGAAGTAACTGTGTGCCTTTCTAGAGCTTCTGCTCAGCTCCCTTTCCGCTTGCCATCACAAGAGCGTGATTAAGAAAATACCAACAGGATGTGCAAGAGGGAGGAACAGACTTGTGCTGGAAGCGGTACAGACGCTTGACGGATGAGTCATGAGACGAGCCAATGTGGCTGTATCTCCTCAGAGAATCAAGCACTTTCATGGGGCCCCTTTTTTTTTATCTACTCATTTGAAAAATCTGGGTTGCTGGCATGGTGGGTCTCCTTTGGTGGTCAGGCTGATGGAAAATGCCTGATGGGTCCTTCTCCCGGCTGGCATTTTTGATAGTTGAGGAACATATTAAGGATGAGATACATGGAGAAAATTGGAAGTGAATCGTACTGAAAAGATTGTGGGTAACTGTCACCTTTTTTTTTTTTTTAAACCTCTGGTCTTATGAAAAAACTTGATTTTGATTGGCTTTGTCACTATGGGTTTAATACTGACGGTGTTGGTCAACTTTTATTTCAGGTTGAGACAGATTTGGGAGGTGATGGTGAAGGGCATAGGGGAGGAAAAGGAGCAAGCGAGGCCCTATTAATTATTTTTTATTGTGAGGTTTCACAGAATTATTGAGATTTTCCACATTAGTAAAAGCAGTTTTTGGTGTCAGTGTGATGTTTTCAAAGATGAAGTCATGGAAAGCATGTCAGGTGCATAAAGAACTATATGGCCCATGTTCTCTGTAGCAGCCACTTAGGGTGTGCGTGCATGGGAAACAAGGCGGGTATTGAAAAAATGGAGAGAGGGAGAAACAGGAGGGTTTCATTAATTGGAAAATCAACATAAAATATCTGCTGATCTTAAAAAAAAAAATTTAGCATATTATATTCCACAATCTGTGGTTAAGACTTTATATTACTCTACCTTGAAATTATGACCATGTCTCACCAACTCCTTTTTTTTTTTTTTTTAATGCTTGGTTGCCTTTGTTGGTCTTTTGCTTTGGTTCCCCCTGTACCTGAAATAAGGAAATAATCAGCAATAATATTTTGTTAGAGCTTGGATACACTTCCAACTGTTGGTTCAAGACCAGGCTCCCAGATTCCACAGCATGTAGCCAAGAGTATAGGCTTTAGGGGCAGAAGGCTTGACTCAAAGCTCGTCCCTGACATTTACCTGATACATGGTCCGGTATCAGGAATGTCCTGTTCAAAGCTGGTCTTCCTCATTTCTAAGGTAGAGCTAATTACAGTGCCTGTGCAAAAGGTGCTGTAGGGATGGGACAGTACCGTGCCTATAAGCAGCGTACCTGCACCTAGGAAGGACTCCGTAAACTTAACTGTAATTTTATTCATGCCACTGGCTTTAAGAACATTTCCTCCATAGGGCTCCTTGCCACCTGACCAGGAACGTAACGTTTAAAGAGTGTCTATAATTAATTAACTAATGTTTTTGGTCGCTTTACCTGCCTCTGAAGCCAGGTGATCTCTGGTAGTCAACAGAAATGTCTCCCTTCTTCTGAATCAAGGAGATGACGTTTTGTGTTCCTCTGTTAGCAGTGGTTTTATTGTTTTGGTTTTTTCTCCTTCTTTTCCGTAGCCTGCAAAATCGGATATTACAAGGCCCTCTCCACAGATGCTACCTGTGCCAAGTGCCCACCCCACAGCTACTCAGTCTGGGAAGGAGCCACGTCGTGCACCTGCGACCGGGGCTTTTTCAGAGCTGACAACGATGCAGCCTCTATGCCCTGCACGCGTAAGTTCTTCCGTCCTGTTTCTTTGATGCCAGCAGCTTGCGTTATCACCTAGCAGGGCACTGCCAAACCTTCTCCCATGATAACCATGTAAGGGGCAGATTAAATCAACTATGAATCTTTTCTTAATCAAAGCAGGGGAGATGCTTATGAGAACAAGGGTCTTTCTCACCGTTCTGGTTGCCTTTGAAACTCACAGCTGCCCACAGACTGCTTTGTGGAGGAGAGACATTCAGGGGTTGTAATCTGACAGTGTAATTAGAGCTGAGACTGAAATTTCCAAAAAGCTTTATCGTTTCCTCCAGCAGTCTCTGGAAGCCTGACAGCTGCGGGGGAAACAGGTACACGGCAGGATTCTGAGGACGGGATGACGTGTGGGCTGTGGTTTCAGTTCTGGGCACTGACGTCATGGCTTGTGTTGTCCTTACCCTTCTTCCTTCTTTCCCCATAGTTTTGTGTTCATAACATTTAGGCCTGGATCCTAATAAATGCCTGTTTAATGGTAGGCACTCAGTAAGTGCTGGACTAATGAATGGATGGGGAGGGCACCTCGGTATGCAGAAGAGCAGAGAAATCCATTCTCATACTTTCTGTGGACAGTGCTCCTAGTGTTGCCATTTCTTTCACGTGCACTATGGGCTTCACAGACCCTGCGGTGGCTGTGACCTTGGCAAGAACAGGGAGTCGCGGGTCCAGGTGTTCCACCCATGGTGTTCCTGTTGGGTAAGTCAGTGTATGGAGAGATGAAGCCGAGGGCCAGGCACACAGGATTCCCATAGGTTTGGGCTTTGTTTTCCAGCCCACCCAGAAATTTCAGCCTCCCATTTCCCCATCTGTAGAACAGAATTAATAACAGTACCTCCACCATTGGTATTTAACGCCCTCATGTTGGTTACATAGTAAAAAAAAATGCATAAAATGATGTTACTCAATATATTTTAGCTTTTACTGTGCTTATGACTGTTACTGTTTTGTTCCCTGTTATAAATTCCATCTTGGCTAGCCTGGAGCCAACATCCCTCCAAATAGAAGTATTTTCTGGTTTGGGGGTACTTGGCCCGGCTCTGAGGCCATTGTCTTAACTCAGTCAAGTATCACCTTTAAAGGGAGTGGGAAGAGATTTCAGACCCACCCCAGTTGTGCCGAGTGAGGTTAACATACCCTCCAGAGTTCCTTTTTTTTTTTTTTTTTTTTTTTAAGATTTTATTAATTTATTTGAGAGAGCGAGACAGAGATAGCAAGAGGAGAGCGCTCAAGTAGGGAGGAGAGGGAGACGCAGGCTCCCCCCAGGAGCCTGAAATCATGAACTGAGCTGAAGGCAGATGCTTAACCAACTTAGCCCCCCCAGGTGTCCCCAGAGTTTCTTTTCTAGCCAGAGATGACGACAGCAGCAGCAATAAGAACCATTGTATAATCATGCCCAGGTAATGTATCAGGCGCTTTCAGGAAACCTTCTCACAGGGCTCATATTATAACAAATCTGTAAAATAGACATTATCTTCGTTTTATAGACGAGGTAACTGCCAGCTCAGAGATAGTAGGGAACACACCCTAGGCTCCACGCCAGCTTGGTGATAGAGCTGCATGACTCCTGTAGTTCTGATCACTGGCAGGCTCTCTTGCCCACTCCCCCAGATTGAACACAAACTTCCTCCAGAGGGAAGGAGTTGGCTAGGGTCAGCCCAGAATCCTGGGCATGGATTTTTCTCATTGCCTTTTTCTGTTGCTTCCCTAGACTAAGTACTTTCTTGGGATAGCCATGGACGTTTGACCAGCTCAAGTCCCAGACTTTTTCTTTTCTGAGTATCCCCATCCTGTGTTTCACGATGTGTGATGATGGTGATGGTCACCTCTCCTGTGTCCACACTGGCTGCCAACAGTTGCCCAGGTGTGGGATTTTAGGACATGGTAGCAGACTCAAAGGGCAGTGTTGGGGGCAGACAGTGTGATGGAGAGTGTGATAACCTTTAACTTGGAACATGCAGTCTACCACCTACTGTTCATACAGATAGAGCCTTCCCCAGGTTGAGGCTTGACTGTGTTATGATCTTTATAAAACACATCTTTGATGGAGAGATGGCCCGGGTCTTGTTCCCAGGTATTTTTAGGCTCATGATTCTGATCTGTCATGCAGCCTTCCAGGACCACGGGCCTGTCACTTAACTGTTGCAGCTTTGCTGTGTGGAAGTTTCTGGGGACCACAAATTCACCTGCCTAAATTACTGGAATGCTGTGCCATGTGTGTCTAAGTGTGGTCGCTGAGCCCTTGGCATTCTTACATTTGTGTGGGAGTAATTGTTGGCTTTATCGTGAGGATACAAATGAGAAAAGGAAAATACAGATTTCAGCAATCGGGGGCACCAAAAGGTTTAAGAACTAAAGTAACTTGTGCAGTTTTCACAGATTGCTTTCAGCGACGTCTAAAGAGGAAGATGGGGGGCTCTTTGGGTCATTGATAAAAGCTCCACGAAAATACCAAAGCAGTATGTGATCCTTCTTTCTCCTGCTTCATCCTCTTGGAACTCTGCCTACAGGTCCCTGACTTAAGCGCTTCGCGTTATTCTAACGTTTATTGAGTTAAGACGAAGTGCAGTGTGGTTAACACCACACAGTTTTGAGGTGATTCAGCTGTTCCACACCACAGCTTACTCGTCTGTCGAATGGGATTCTCAAATGGGTTGTTTTAAGGGTTGAATAAGAAAGTATTTGTAAAGGTCTGGTACATGGTAGGAATCTAGCAAATGTTTGTCCCCGTCTTGTACCTCCAGCTGATCACTGCCTCCCCCAGACTAGCTCCAGAGCACTTGCCAGTGTATCTGACTGCCTCTCGATGCTGCTTTTCTCATTTGACTGTGCAGTCTAATTACCCAGTGGCTGCACAGCAATCCAGAAACTCTGGGGATAGACTTCAGCATCAGTATTTTTAAAAAAGTTGCCCCCGGGGCACCTGGGTGGCTCAGTGGGTTAAGCCGCTGCCTTCGGCTCAGGTCATGATCTCAGAGTCCTGGGATCGAGCCCCGCATCGGGCTCTCTGCTCTCTCGGGGAGCCTGCTTCCTCCTCTCTCTCTGCCTGCCTCTCTGCCTGCTTGTGATCTCTCTGTCAAATAAATAAATAAAATCTTTAAAAAAAAAAAAAAGAAGTTGCCCCCATAAATTGTACTGTAAAGACAAAATCGAGACCATTTCTGTACAGAGTTTATTTTTAAGTTCTTTTTTTTCTAAAATTATTATTTAATAGGCATTAACTACTTAAGACCTCCTTTGAGACTGGGATCATAAAGGGCGAGACCATATTTCGCTAATAGGTATACTAGTAAGTTAGGCAGCAGAATATTCTAGTTTAAGGCTAACTCTAGATTTCTTCCTTCCTTCGCTGTCCACGACTATGGCCACTAGACACATGTGGCTCTTTAAATTTAAAATTACTAATGTCAAGTTTAGAATTCACTTTCTCATTTACACTTGCCACATTCCAAGAGCTTGAAAGCCATGTGTGGCTAGTGGTGACCATACTGGACACCCTTCTGCTATAGAGTATTGCTGCCGTCGCAGAAAGTTCTGTGGGACAGGTTTTCATAGGCATTTCGGTAGAGAAGCCAGTGGGAGTTTCTCAAAAAACCTCTTGTTCAGATAACCCAACAGAATGAAGCCCTTTCCCCTTGCCTCACCCCTAGCTTTATCAGATTCTTTTGACACGATGTGGGGATGGAAAGGAACATAAACATCAGGGATCCTTTCAAACTGATTCCAGCCTTTAATCAGTTCTTGCCAGTTGGTTAAGCCAGGTGACAAACCCAATTCCCTTGTGCTGACAGCCATGATAATCAGGCACCTTCTTTGTTCATTATGCTATCTTTAACCCCAGCATTCTTATGCAGCCCCGCATTTAGTGATCGCTCACTGTGACGGCACACTAATGAAGAAATAAAACACACTCTCTGAGACTCATTCTTCTAGCCAAAGAGAGACTCTGCTCCACTGGTTTGTAAAATCAGGTTTTTGTTCACTTGGAGAACGATTAGACCAGGTGAATACAAGCAGCATTGGTTAATTTGGAAGGAAACCCCTAAGACGTTCTTCATACCATCTATACTGCTTGAGAACTTTGAAGCTTTGAATGGTAAATAAACTTGATTTTTAGGAAGGCTTCTCTTGGACCATCTGGTTAAGGTTCACTTAAGTGGCTGCTTGCAGATGAGGTATGACTTCCAGAAGAGCATCATGAATATTTTCAAGAAAATGATCCACACTTGTTAGAATGGAGAGTCAGAAAAGTGCTTCATAAGTATGAAGGGGTGTAGAAATCTCATGGGAGTCACTTGGGGGATAGCAGAAGTCAGGTCTGGGGCTCTGCATTTCATCCATGTTCCCAGATGCTGCTGATGCTGCTGGTCTGTAGACAGTCTTCAGGTGGTAAGGCCTTAGATCATTCCCGATGGATGGCAGGAGACTGGAGGCCCTTTGTCTATGGCTATGGTTCAGTTCAGTGGCGACTCTAGGACAATATTGCAAGGAGTATGAACATTCTCCTTTGATGGAAATGGAATACTTCCTTTGTCTCCCAGAAGAAAACCCAACCTAGTTCAGAGTTACATAATCAAAAACCCTCACCATGGAGCTTTGTTTATTTGTTTGTATTTTCTTCTCAAGTCCCCACCAAGTTACTGCCCGAGACACATGTATCCTTCAAGAAAGGTGCCGGCGGTTCTGTGACACTGCCCAAGAGGCAGACGCCAAGACTTCTCTATACACAGGGATGCCATTTAAGCTGATGAAGGCATTTTGATGTCATGAATCATTTCTTAGAAAGAATTTGAATGTGATTTTTAGTAATGAAATCAACATCCTTTTGCTCTAAGGAGACCCAACCCTCCCCCCCCGCAACACCTTCCCCTTCTGCTTACCTTTCTGGGTAGTCAGGAATGTGGTCAGACAATCAGCAGTGTTGGGAGAATTCAGCCACATGCCTGTGCAGGAAGATTTGATTACCTTAGTTATTGAG